GGGTTGTCCCTTGGCAGGCGGGAAGGAGGAGAAGAACAAGGAGATGCCGGCCAGGACTGCAAAGGCAGTGGTGGAGAAGTCGAGCAGCCTGTGGGGCATCTCACAGTGCTGGCGTGGCGTGGTGCAGCAGCAGGTAGAGCTTGAAGGGCCGTCCATGGGGGCCGGAGGGGGCGCGTGGGACCCCACACCAGGCGGGTATAGAGGGGAGCGGGGCCTGGCAGTGCCCTGGGAGCGTGGGGAGGGCGCAGGGCTGTACCTGGCCTTCACGGGGCCCGGAGGGGTATGGGGACAGCCCTGCCGCACTTGCCACCCTGGCAGGGCTCAGGGGACAGCCTTGCTGCAAGCTGTCGGTAGCCCATGGCAGCACTGGGGCCTCCAGTCAGCTGCTGGCTGGGACTTGGGCAGTTGGTGTTGGCAGAGTGGGGCTGGGGCTGTGGACGTTCCCACAGGCCACGGGCATGTCCTGCTGCGGGGCTCACGCCTCTCGCAGTACATCCCACTGCGGGGCTCACCCCTCTTGTGCTGCGTCCCGCAGGTGCAGCGGTTCCTGGAGGTGGCAGGGCAGGCGCCGGACCTTGTGGAGCGATACTGTGGGCTGTACCAGCGGCTGCGTGGCGCCACGGAGGAGCTCTTTGGGCAGCAGGCCGCCTTTGTGCTGGCCCTGGGCCAGGGCTTTGCGGGCGCTTTGCTGCAGCTCTCCTTCCTTACCACCCTGCACGTGAGTCGGGGGAGCATGGCACCAGCACCAGGGCCCCGGCCTCACTGGCCCCGGGCGCAGGCTGGGGAGGCTGCCTTGGCCCACGGCCTTGGGATGAGCGCCGGGTGGGTGGTGTCCTGGCCCCACACCAAGCCATGGAGCCCTGCCCTGCAGTGGCCCTGGATGGTGCCCAGTGGCGGGTGCGTGGTGCTTGTCACAGTGTGGCCCCAGCCCCGGTGTGCTCCTGCACGGCTGGTGCCTGGTCACCCTTGGCCCCTGCCCGAGGGCCCCAGCGTTTCTGAGCTGCTTCCCCAGGGACATTCCCCCAGCCTGACCCTAGGGCCTCCTGGTGAGCCCCCTCTGCAGCCAGCACTGTTCCTCTGCAGGTCAGTGAACAGTTTGCCCGCTACCTTGATGGGCAGATCCAGGAGCTCCACGGGGCTGTGGGCAGCACGGGGCTGCTGCAGCGGATCCTGGAGCCCTTCATCGTCTTCAGTGGCCTGGAGTTCGCCCACACCTTTGAGCACTTCTACCGGTGAGGGGTGCCGTGTCTGCACGGGAGCAGAGGGCCTGGTGTGGCGTGGCAGGGGAGGCGCAGGTGTCAGCAAGGCTGTGCCTGAGCCTGGCCTTGCGTGGCAGGGGTGCT